ATTATAACTTTTTTAGGGGTATTATAATCAGAAAAACTATTATCATTATTTCCTATAGCATGTATTATTTGATCCCGTGTGTTTTCTAATTTTAATGGTTCTTCGCATTTTTCTTTATAATCCCATTTATTAGCAGAATCTGATAATTTTGGTAATTCTGTGTTGCATTTGACTTTGTATTTTAATTCATTCTTTTCGATTAAACATCTAATATTATTTAATTCAGCAAGCAAGTAATTATCGGATGGTGATTTAATGTCACTTAAGAGTTCATTATATGTCTTAATTAATTCTTTAAAATAATCACATGAATTATTTTGAGGAATATTATATTCTATTATATAAAATATACTCGAATATATATCATATATATTATATAGTTTTTTTTTTTTTCATATAATAGATGATCAATATCATTTATTTTACACGTAAATTTTATATTGTTCGCTTGATAATTATAATTATTAACAAAATTTCTCAAATACCGTGATATAGGTTTAGCAGGATCTATATAAGTGTTTTCATCTAGGTACTTTATGTAGTAATTAATATAATCGCAACATTTATTGTAATTACTTGAAAAATTATTATTAATGTACTGAAAATATTCTTTTATTTGCATACAGAAAGATTTAATAATTAGTTTCACATCATCTATATTTTCGTGATTTCCGAGGAATTCATCAATATCATGTGTACTAGTTGATTCCACAGAGTTTCTAAAGATTTTAATTTTGTACGTTATATAATCTTTGTAATTGAAATACTAATAAAAAATATATAAATTATAGAAAGTACATATATTAAAGTAAACGCTAATTAGGTAATATTATTAATGAATTGCTATTAGTATTCATGCAAATAATAAGATGTTATTCAGTATCATAGAAGTATATAAAATTTATTGTTTCACTAGTTACAGAATCTGCCATTGTATGAATAAAAAAAAACTAGTATAATATTAAATTTATATTATTTACAGATATTGAACAATAGCTAGAATTAAATTCTGTCAGTATCGTGTGAATTTCTATTATAAATTTTAAAATTTAATCATGTATTTTATTAGAAATTTCATTTCTATTAATATATATTCCTCTATTATAATTTGTTCTTAACATGTTATAAAATAAACAAAAATATATACTAAAACAAAATGATGAATTAATGTATATAACATAATCTAATATATAGTAATGACAGAAACGTGATATTATTATTAATATAAATAGTTCATAGTTCTATTAATGATTTATATATATAAAGGAAATACACTGATTAATATATAAAGTGATATATATGTATGCATTTTTGAATAAAAATTTTATAGAAAATGATATGGTATGTTTGATTATATAGTTCGTATTTGATTATCACTTGTACAAATATTTTTATTATGTATTTTACGAGAACCTATTTTCAAATTAAAACAGTTACATTCATTTGTGTCTTCACTTTCCTATAAAGTATGTATTGATTGAAATATATATTTAACTTATAAAAAAAAAGTATATATAGAAACCACCAATATATATAAATTAAATCATATTTTTACTCCGAGGTTTATATAATTATAGGAAATAATAATTATTATATAAAGATAACTAAAATTAATATTAGTGTATAGTGTTAGGGTTCATGGTTGGGTTTGAGTTTTAAGACTAACTATTTATCACTTATAATTCAGTATTTTTTATTAAGTTTTAGTATAAATTCAAAAGTTTTATTGGAGGAATACTCAATGAGTGTATTATTTCTATATATTAATTAGAGTATTATGAATTTTATTATAGTCTGTATTCTGTTTTATATGTATAAGTATTAGAATTATATATATAAATTTTATTCTATTGTATTTAAGTTAATATTAATATAAAACATTTGATAGATTTATAAATATATATATAAATGCAGAATCAAGGTATGGAGTCCTGTATATTTTTTTATTATTTGTAGGCATAATTAATATTTCTACTGTTTTATATATTATTTGTTAAAATTTTATTAATATGTACAATATAATAATCTAGTATTATTAAATCTTCTGCATCACTATATAAATTTATTATTTTTATAACAATAATTAAGAAATTTTATTCTTCTGAGATTTCAATTTATGCGGTTTTTATTATTATATAGTTCTTATTTAGAGAACTAATAAATATATATGCTTTATATATATATATTTTAATTTCAATTTCTATATATATGTTGAACCGTTTGGTACTTTTATGAACTAATAATTTTCATTGAAATATAATTAATTTAATAAATAAAATATTAACGTTTTATAAAATAAAAAATATTTAATTTATTTACATTTATGTTTTTGCATTGTTCTTGAATATATTTCCTATATATATTTAATTATTATATCAATTTTTCATTTTCATTTGCAATATAAAAATGTAATATTTCGAGTAGAAAATAGCATGAAATATGTAATATATAACCTATTTTAAAAATGAATTATGTAATTAACATATATATTTATATATATATAATAAGCACACAGTTCATTTTTTTCCTAATATTATTTGTACATTAAAATTTAGAATTCACAATATATTCCCTATAAAATATTCTCACTATAAAACATAATCATAAATAAAATATAGATATTATTTTTTGAAATTATTGTTTTAGTGAATAATTTAATTATATGTAAAATATAAAACAAAAAAAAAAAATTCCTACAGGGCAATTATTAGAAATTCAAGATACTCAAATAATACCATTATATTTATAGTATAAAAAGATTAAATTTATTATTTATGGTTCACATTCTTATGAAAATTTAATGAATGTTAATAGTAAGTAATAAATATTCTGTCCATTTAAAATATAAATATATATTTCATATATACTATTATCATACATTTAAAATTGATTTACTCCTTTAACAAATTTACTGTAAGAAAATATAATTTTCGTCATATATAAATCAAATAATTGAAATATAGCATTACAAAGAATTATTTTTTATAACGAAACTTAAAGTGAATATACAAATAACAGGATATATATTATGTTACTAAATACATCATATAATAATATACATATTTATATAGTACTAATAAATCAAGGGAAAAAATATTCCTACCATAATTTAAGAAATATGCAGAGTCAAACATATAATATTTTTAAAATAATTAACAAAAGATATAGTAATAAAATTAATAACATAATTAAAACAATAAAAAATTGTGATATAATGATATCAGTTAATATATTTCAGAATTTTTAAATAACTATATTAGTACAAACTTTTTTAAAAAAGTTATGTGATTTATTTATTTAAATAATGTAATTAACAACATTATTGGTGATATATTTTTAATTATAATTTACATGAAAAAATATATATATATAAGAAAAAAAGTTTATGTATTAAAGAAATTATTTTGAATAATACTACATTTATATATTTGTTTTAATGTGTACACTATAAATGAACATTATAAATTAGCATAATAGGAAAATTATCGGATTTTTATGAACTAGAATATAATCTTAAATAAAATATTATGCCCAACAAAGATTATTTTTAAATATATATATATTTTACTCATTAATACTAAAAACTTTTAGACTAATACTTTTTTTATACACAAAATTACGCATAATATAATAAAAATATTATAAGAATAAACATGATGAATTTTTATTAGTAAATAAAAACAATGAAGACAAAAATTTATATTAATTCCTAGTTAAAAAAATGTTCCAATCTAATATTCTCTTAGTAAGTAATATATATGTACTTATATATAATAAAAATTTTTTGCTCTATATTTTTAGAGTAATTATCCTTTCATTGACATATACATATTAATTTAATCCTCTTACATATTTTTCATTAAATAAAAATTATAATTAAAATACATAATTAAATAGTTTAATTTTCCTTTATATTTATTTTCCTCGTACAAAAATGAATTTCTATATACTTCTTAACTCCTATATATTTTTTTGTGCCTTATATATTGTTTATATAATTAGAATTGAAAATGTTATCTACGAATTCTAGGTCTAAATTTCGTATATATACATATGTGAGATTTTTTTCGAGAATATAAAATAAATGCTATATTTTTTATATAATATAAAGAATACTAAGTATTTGTTTTATATATTTTTATAATTATATAAAATGCATTATCATATTCCTATAACATTAATTAGATATTCATTCACACATGTCTAATGTGCTAGTATATATGACATATATATTATAATAATATTCATCTTAAAAATCCCTAATATAAAAATATATAAAAATTGGCTTTGTTTTTAAAAAACAAATGCGTATAAAAGTAATGATCATACACATTATATAAAATATAAAAAAGCTCTAAATTTATGAAACACAAAAAAAAGAATACAAATTTATATAAAAACTTAAATCAAATAAATTTGAAATTTTGTACAAAATAAACGATAGTCTTTAATTCTAATATAAGTAAAAATAATAAAAAGTATATGGAATTATTTATCAATATCATAAATGTGACATAAAATAACATATATAAATTTAGAGTATTCTATCTGAATTTCATATAAATTTAGCATATATATGTAACAATTATTATTAATATTAGTATTTAATAACTAGAAATTATTTTTGATTCTTTCCATGTTATATAATATGTTTATATAAAAATTTATTTGATCTGTATTTAATTTTTAGTGATATATGTAATTTCCATAGGATTATCATATTAGCTAATATTATATATTATTTTTTTATATGTTTTCTTGATTTTATATTGTAAAAATTCCATGTTCTTTTAAATAACCATATATAGTAGCAAAAAAAACGCGAAATACATCTTTTGTATTTTTTGTTCTACATTTATTTGTATAGTGAATAAGACCTCAAAAATTACACATTGTTCTATTTATATGTCTATATCATGATTACAAAAAAATAATGTTCATTTATTCTATTTTATATGAAGATAATTATTCTATTACTCATAAATTTATCAAATATATCATTGTAAATATATATTACAATAATTTTTATATGTTACATATATAATATTTTCTTATTATTATATTATAAACAAAAAAATTAGTCAGAATTATATAATAAATGATAAATATTGTTTCTATAATCACAATAGGGGTTTTCAGATAATTCCAGTATATTTATTTTTTTAAACATATTTTTATATTGCTTTCTTTTTTTCATAGCTATACATCGAAAACTTGAAGAATATGGAGTGAACTAACTCATTATTAAAAAAATTAATATATAAAATTTATAATTGTTTTTTAATAATTCGTTTATTTTTAATTACATAAAAATATACTATTTCTATATAATGATACACGTATAACATAATTATTAACCTTATATAAGAAATATATAAATGAGGAAATTGCTAAAGTTATACATATTGGAATTAATGTAAGGGTTGTCATACTATAGTTTCGGAAGGAAGGTAATATTTTGGGGATCTCAGCTTCACAGGATTTCTTTTTCATTTCTTTATCATATTGTTCTTTTATTTTTAATAATTCTTTACAAAAAAATGTGTTATTATAATAATTACACGTTTGTACATATGTTTTATATGTTTGGGCACACTCTTTGGCGCCATCACAATTATTCCCAGATTTACTACTTTCATCATTTATTTTACTAATGTTCGTGTACATATCATATATAGCTTTCAGTTTTAACATATCTTCATCTTTAATTGAAGTAACTATGAAATTAGTGCATTGTGCATCTTGCACTTTTTCATTTACTCTGATCAATTCATGATAAAGTTGTTTAATATGGTCCCTCCTCACAATATTTTTATAACTATCATATAGCCAATAATAAAGGTATACACAATGAGCTTCTTTTAGCACGTTATCGTTATGATGTTGTTCAATATCATTAAGATATTACAATATTTGAGCACATATTTCTTTT